ATGGATCTATATGTTTTACACCTTAGAATGTACTACTAGAGCTACTCTTACTTCTAATGCTACTACCAATGTATAAATAATTACCTATCATTTTCAACTACCTAATGCCCTCCCATCTTACTTTGTAGCATGCAGCAGCTTAATGCTTTCTTCTCCTATAGAGTAATTAAATGTTCCTAATCTCTGACATATCTTGGGAATTATCAGCAGTGAAATAATACTCTCAAGGTCTGAATTCTTTATTCCAATCCCCATGCTCTTCTTGTGCTTGATGATACCCCTACAGGGGTGAGCAATAATATATACATAAAGGCATGACTGGATACTGCAGCCATCAGGTTGCCCAGTCAGTTATATTAACTGGAAATTGTTTTAGAAGTACAAGAGTAGGTGACCTCTCTGGTCATCATGACCTCAATGTTTTCCATACCTCAACAGTCTTAGATCTGTAGAGCAGAACAAGAGCACATGGGGATAATTAGCCCTGAATATGGCTACAATCATCTCAGTATTCTTCTGTGGGCTCCTTAGTGCCATATAGTATGTATTCAGGATGATATTAAGCTGTGTACTACAAACACACAAACCTATTTGTAAGCAAATCGGTTTGTGAGGAATTAACATTTTTTCACCAGTGCTTATAGTGTCAGCTGTTGGAGAGTGCTCTGTCATTGCAAATTAAATAAAAGTCAGCTTTTATTGCTGTTGTTGTTGTTGTTTCAATACTCTTGCATGTGTTTTGTGCTACTGTACGAATGTTTGTGACCTCCTGGAAAAACGTACCTATTCATGAAAGGAGACTCTCCCCTCCCCCTGCCTGGATTCAAAGTTACAAACTGCGTGAGAAACTGAAGTTCCTAAGAACTCACAGGTGCCAGACGACCCTTCTCATGCTTGCCACCTCGTGGCATGCTACAGTACTGGTCTTGCTTGTGTGAAACAATCCTCAGTAGACCTGAGACTTCTAAGATGACAGTCATCACAGAGCCTATACTACGAAAGATTACTTATTAAAAATTAGGATGGATGTACAAATAATTCTGTCCAACCTCACAGGGAGAGAATGTCAAGCACAAAGCACTCTTCTGTGCCTGAAGATAAAACTAGGGCAGACAGATGACTCACGATTCTCATGTAATGAAGTGTTCAAAAATACTGAAGAGGTTGACGATAATCTTTTTGCTCATTTTTGTCTGATACGCCAAAACATGCTGAATAATAATGGTTAAGCTATTCACCAGAAAAGTAATTAGCCATAACATTGCACATTTGATTAAACCAACAAATAATACTTGCTAAGTGCATCAGTGGTATCCAACTAACAATATTTCTACCCTAGCTATGCAAAATGAACAGTGAACATTAGGATGACGTGGTTACAGAGAAACAAACTACAGGGTTGATCTGTTTGTTTAGCACAGCGCAACCCAAATCACATGGCCCGATACCCTGAGCACTGAACCCTGACTGATGGGGCTTGTGGTCAGCAATCTCTGAGTGGTAAGACACGAACTGACTGCAGCAATTTTGCAAAACATATGAAACATGTTGAAAGGAAGACCTGTGCTGCAGCTGTCAGTGCAGGGAGAAACGTGGTTTCCTCCAAGTCACATAGAAGCTGCAAGATACAGCCCATTTCAGGACTTTCATATAAAACTGACAAACGCCTTAAAGAAACACGGTGGCATTTCTAATCAGCCTGTCACCTCTGTCAAAGAACCTGAGAGGGTGACCTACTAAAGCCTCCAACTGTCAGGCTAACAGCTACCCCGCATCCCATCGGGCTGCAGCCTTCCCACTGCGGCGGACTCGCTTCTCATTTTTTGCAGCTACCTGCTGCAATGTAGCATCCTCTGTTGCTCTTCTCCAGCACAGCCACGTCAAACGCATTATGTAATGCCTGGTGGAGACCAGCATTCCCTCTCAGTACTCAGAGCGATCACATAAACTGCTCCACCAGTAACATACAGTGATGCACATGCACTGTGCCATGTAGGTCCACCCTAGCATTTACCTTGAGTGAACTGACTGATGATGCTGATGATGTCTGAGGTCAGCGTGAGTTTGGAGAAATATAGAAAGAACTAGAAATCAGTTTTCTTCTCCTCTTAGTATAGAATAGTACATGAGCCCATTTCTTTTTTTTTTTTTTTAAAAACAGAATAAACTTTCTATAAATCCTCAAATTATACAGACCACAAGCTACTTCTTAGCAAAAGGCATATTTTTAGCAGTAAAGCTGTAAATAAATAAATAAGACATTTTAAGTGCTGGTACTAAGGTGACTAGTGCAAAATTCTCTTCTGAAGTTAAAAATAAATAAATAAATAAATAAAAATAATAATAAAAAAAAAAAAAAAAAAGAAAAGAACAGTCTACTGGAATTAGAACGGTTAACAAAACCTTTAAAACATACCCCTAAAGAGACATCATAATCTTCTGGGGTAAAAGGCTTATCTGTGAGGTCCTCAAAGAAATCTGTCAAGGATTCCAGTGTTTCTTCAGCCAGTTTTTCGTAAGTGGTCTCATCTAAAGAGCTACAAGTAACACACAGTCACATAGTCAGGAGGGAGGGAAAACATGGAAGGTGGTATTTTATTACTGTGTTTATCACAGTGAAAATATCAATATTGTTTCACAGTTAGCATTACGCCTAAGGACACAAATAATCATCCTCCTTACGGTAATGGAGGTTACAATGCACCTTACATGAGGAGGTGGAGTTTTAGTACTTGAGCAGTATAGACCTCTAATTAAAGATTGTGTACTATGTGTATAAAACTGTGTTGTTTTATAGATATCATGGCCCCTGAGTATTAAGGAGACAGACCCAGACTTCAAAATACAGTCTTCTTATGAAAATGCTGTGCAAGAAGCACTGTTTGAGGCCCCACAAATAGATTCCAGCACCTCCTGTTGAAGCATATACACCATTTGACAATAAGGAAAAAAATACAGCTACAAGCAGAGCTTTAGAAACATCAATGTCAAATGCTATCACTACATGCAGCATTAGATTTCTCAACAGGGATCAGCAATGCAATCCAGGAGTGGGACATCATCTACAATGTGCACATGAACTAATCCTTTTACAATTACCTCCTTCAGAGAGACTCAAAGCACATCTATAGCCCGTAATTAAGGTTTACAACACTTGTGAGACAGCTTCTGTTATCATCTTTAAGCAACTAAAGAAGTGAGAACAAAGTCTAAATAATTTTGATTAAGTAAATGTGATCTAGTCACCTACATTCTCCTATCCGTAGCAGTCATTTTTAACCGAGTGTGTAGGTGGGTATCTCTAGCAACAGACATCGGGTGAAACCACGTATTTTGCTAATGGGTGCGGCCAAACAGCTGTTACAATGAACTGAATAGGTGACTCAGTATCTTCCAACTGACTGGAACGTTTTGTTCAAGTTTCTTGTAAGACAGTTGCCAAAAAACGCTGCACACCACTTGAGTCATGGATGCCCCAGGAACACCTACAGATGTGGAGAACTGAGGGCCTTAGGATCAGGTGGGGACTCATGCATTGTTCCAGGCGCCTAGCAGCATTCCCTGGGCCTTCAACTGCTGCACTGCATGAGAAGAGGTCTCTTGCAAGCATCACATCATGCCCTGCCACTGCACGTCAGCAATTCCACATTCCCCAATGTATGTTATTTCTCACCAGAGACAGGATGAGGGGAAATGGTGACAAGTTGCACCAGGGTAAGTTTGGGTTGGATATCAGGAAACACTTGTTTACAGAAAGGGTTGTTAAGCACTGGAATAGGCTCCCCAGGGAGGTGGTTGAGTCACCATCCCTGGATGTGTTTAAAAACTGATGTGATGATCAGGGACATGATTTAGAGGAGAGTTGTTAGGGTAGAAAGTTAGGTTGTGGTTGGACTCAGTGATCTTTAAGGTCTTTTCCAGCCTGACCAATTCTATGATTCTGTGAGAAATGGTGAGTTGCCCGTGTTTAGGCACGAGTTATTTCCCACTCACACCAAATGATTCTCCCTAGAACTGCACTGTTCCTGTTCACAGCTGTGTTGTACGTTACATTAGTTTTGACAGTCCTACCAGCTGTTCAAAGACGAATGTATATTCATATGAACAGAAGTATTCCCAGAATATCCTAAGAACGAGATTTACCTTTTGTCATTCAGAGTTCCTGTACTTCTTAAATTCATGAAGTGAACAGTACTGCTCCTCACCTCTGAAGCATATTGCAATTGCTGCTGAAAATAAGTTAAAGGGAATTAAAAGATGGAACGTGAAGACCACGAACTGTACATTGGTCACACAACCAAATGGTTCCTTGAAGGCTTTGTCTCCACATTAAGCATTCGTATTTTATATTGCAGAGCGGAATAACACAGAGGGAATCCTCCACTGACCTAGGCAGACTGGGGCACTCTCATCTGCTACAATCGAAGTCACACAGCGGAGAACCAGGAAAGAGAAGAACTATTTCCTCTTCCTCTAACACAGAATTACTCTGCTCGGTTCGGTTCTCTCCAGCACGGAGCACAGACCCGCGCCGTGCGGCCGCAGCTCCTGACGTCCATCAAATACACACCGACACCTCCGCGTTTTCGACACCCCCGGGGTCAAAAGGCACGGCGCCACGCCGGCCCGCAGCGTCAGGCCACGAGGCCGCGGCTTTCACCGCTGTTCGCACTCCCGACGCGGCCGCACTCGGTGCCGTCGGAGGCTGCCGGCTGCCCCGGCCTAGCGGAGGGGCGGGCCCGGCGAGGCCTCGGCCGGCCCCTCGCGGTGGTGACCGCAGGGGCTGAGGAAGCGCCCAGCCCGACGCCGCGCCCTCCCCGCGCCGGGACCGGCAGCACCCCACCCGCCCCGGCGCCGCCGGCTCGCCCCCTCCCGCCCTGGGCGCAGACCGCTCCCTCCCGCTCGCACTCACCGCCCGGCCGCGGACAGCAGCGGCTGCCCCCGCCCTCGGGCCGTCCCCGGGGCCGCCGCTCCTCCGCCGCGCCGCCGCCGCCGCCGCCCACCGCGCCGCACGCAAGGCAGCGGCCGCCCCCGGCCTCCACATGCCGCCCCTCTCGCTGCGGAAGAGGCCGGGGAGGAGCCGGCGCCGCGCGGCCGCTACCGCCCTCCGCCGGCGCCGAAGAGCAGCACGGAGCCGGGTGCCGCGGCTGCGATTTGAGCGCAGCGGGCGGCCCGGGCAGAGCGCGGGAAGCCGACTCCCGCCGTGCGGCGCCCCGGCGCGGGTAGCGAACGAGCGGGGCGGTCCGAGCTGCGGAGCGCCCCCAAGCGGCAGGTGTGTGGCGGTCACTGGCAGTGCGCTGAGGGGGAAAAACGGAAAAGATAAAGGCGACGCGGACAGAGCGGTGAGCATAGCTGGAGAGGCGAGAGATAAGAGCTAGTGCTGATGTGAAAGTTTTTAACAGAGCGCGTTTTGTGTGGGAACAAAAACAAATTCAGATCTTCCCAGGAGATGGGGCTGTGTGGATCTGTGTGCTCGCTGCATTCCCCTGCTGGAGTGGTACATGAAGAGATGCTCTCTTGTTCCTTGAGGACGGATCCCACGTGCTTAACACCTCTGGAAGAAAAACAGTGATGTTTTCACAGCTGCAGTAGTCTAAATACTGAGGTAAGGCTGATAGGGAAAAACTTTCATCAGATCCAGTAATACACTCATAAAGCCGCTTCTTTTTCATACCTCGGTGAGCAAAGCAGAAGGAAGAACGGCAGATTGTTTGTTTTACGTGTGACTTTTGATTTAAGGGAAAGGTAGCTCTTGTTCACACTGTTGTTCCTATACAGCATCCTCAGATAGGTGTTTTCTGGCAGTTCCCATGTAATTCCAGTGATCTGTGCCAGTTCCAGTGCTTTGATAGGTCACGAATCATGAATTAGTGTAGATGGAGCACTTTCTTCATTATTAGCAGTCTCATGTATCAAAACTGCCAAGAAAATGTCAACAGTGTTCACACAAGGGGCAAGAAGAGGGCAATTTTGGCATGCTTTTATTATGACTTTAGTCTTGATTCTTGTTCCTTAATGTTCACATCCCAGCACTTTGGTGTCAGCACTTAAGCTGGCTTGCAGTAACTGCCCAGCAGCTCCAGGTGCAAAGCAGCTGTGAGACCAGGTCTTGTGCCCTCACTGTGGGCAGACCTGATGTCCTTTTGCAAGCAAATGCATGCATCACGGCAGAGGGGTCAGCAAATAGCCTACGTGTAGAAAAGGCGGTGCACTACCAGCTGCTCGTGATCACCACCTGTCGTTCAGGATTGGACAAGTAGTACTGAGTTAAATGAAGTTATCCGTGCATAAAGAAAGTCAACAAGAAAACACATTTTGGGTCAGGAATTTGTATTCTCAAGCTGCAGTTTTAGGGCTAGAAAGTGAAGTACTAGTTATTTGTTGTTGATGTTTTTGTTTTGTTTTTAAACTGGGAATGACTATTAAGAAAGAGCTGCAATTGTGTGTGCTTTAGTGAAGGTTTCTCAGTGCGCTCCATAGTCTGTAAGGATTTCCTTTTTCAAGTGCTCGATGACTGTTTCCATTTACAAGAAAATGTTAAAGACACTGTACACTAAGGGTGGTTCATTCTCTGAATCATTTATTATAGATATAGTGGTTTCAGACAGAACGGCTGCATTAAATTTGGTGTCCTCTGGAGTCTTCTCACAGACAGATGATTGGGACACTACTGGGAACGTTGGGGAAAATGTGACAAATATTTGCTTTCTGGAGGTTAACCTAGTGCTGAAAACCTTTTTATTTTACTCCCAGTAAAACTAATGATAATTATCTACTTTGCAAATGTCCACTTTAAATATACTACACACTATGCATGATTGAACAGACACTTCTAATCTACAAATTTTTTTCCCCTTAGGGCATGCAGATTTGTCCCTAGCATTTCTGTGAGGAATGACACAAGATCATTACCTTGCTGAGACTGAGCAACCCAATTTCAAAGCATGGAAAAGGGGTAATCATGAAACACAGACCCTAGGTTAATAAAGAGGCTCTAAGAAAAGACATCAGTCCATCGTTACTTTTCTCTTTTCTGTACATAAGGAGAAATAACCTCCTCCTTGTTAATGTTACTGGATTAGATCAGTGCAAAATGTACCAAAGCAAAATTCTTCAGGGATACAAAGCGGAACTTTAGGAATTAAAGTGCCAAATTCTGGCTTGGCAGTGCAGCAGGTTTGCCTGCACTTACTCCTAGAATCGCTACTACTCTCTGTAACTTCCGTAAACTTTCAAAGCGACAGCTACATAGCTTTTTCTTTTTGTTCGTTTGTTTTTAAACACTGTTGTATCAAGGTAAGAAGTCTTTTAACTTGTAACTTGTGCTTGTGATTGTCTCTCAGCTGCAAGGGAAATTAAGGGAACCAGAACAGTATCTGAATTTGTCTTGAAGCAATTGCTCATAGAGAAAAACTTGACACGTTGTTATGAAGCACTTGAGGCACTGTTATGCCCTTTGCTTTTTCCTTTCCCTTTGCTGTGCAACTTTAAGATTCCCCCCTTCATTAAAGAGCTGGCAGAAGGTAAGTTCAGATGCCATCTTACAGACTGGTTGATGCATCTCTTGAGATGCCTCTCAAATCCATGAGACATACCAGAACAGGAGCACACTGACAGCTGAGATAGTCTTGAGAACAAAATACTTTATTCATCAATAAAACTATAGTTTACAGTAGTATTTACTAAATAAATTATATAATTTCTCTCTTACAAGAAATAAACTAAAATCAAAAATATTTCGAAGACAATATATATACACAACATAAGGCCTTGTTATAAATAACATTTTTTCTTTTCACCGACAGTGAAAATGTCTTTAAAGGCTTATTTTCATACCCCATGTGCAGAGGCTTACCTAACCCTCCTATCAATTCCAATTTCCACTTCTGTGGATCTAAGCGATTAGAACTGAAGGGTGAAAATATGCAAAAATTAATTTTATTCACCACTGTGCTTATTTTTAATAGGTAAAGCAGATAATATATTTTGTTTGCATAATTACAAGATGCATGCAAATGAAATCACTAGAGAGCCAATAAGAAAATATTACTTTCAAGTCCAAAAAAATTGATTGACAAGATAGTAGAAAGCAGCTCAAACACACAGGTCTTCACAGTTCAGCAAGCAAGAGCAGATGATAGTAGAGTGTGGAATGTTTCATGTCACTTTCGCCAAGTCTACCCATCCTTTCTATAATTCAAAGATCCTAACAATTCTTAGAACGAGTTCAACTGATTATTACTCCGTCTACAAGGCTCAGCAAATCAGGAGTGCAGAAAGTGCTCTTCGTTAACCATGGTCACTTCTCCATCTCAGTTTTCATTCTTGTGTTTTTTGTTACTGTAAAAACAAACAGAAAAATAAGCTAAGTTAGAAGTTGTGTTTATTTGCTTTCTTATAGAATTATAAATTGGTTACATATTTATTCCTCTGAAGAAGCTGAAGCACAGTTCAAGAGTGATCCTCTAATCAAAATCACCAGGTACTTCTCTGTACAAGAACCAACCCCTACAGTCTTGCAGATGTTGCATGGCACTTACATTACCAAAATCCAACCACTTGTTTATGCAAAATGCTGAACACTCTGGGCATCACAGAAGACAATCCAAACTGAGAGCGCTCAGCAACTCCTAACTTTCTTTCACTTGACAGAAGTACCTGAGGCTGATTAGAAGCGTCAGAAGGGAAAAGTGCAGTTTTTGCATGTCTTCTGTGAAAGTCCTGCTAGCTTCCACAGGATATCCTCTGTTGAAAAACATAGCTATCCAAAACTCTTCAGACACAGTTGATGTTCTCTATCATTCCATTTCACAAAAAACATGACAATACTTGCGAGTTCATTTTCTACAATACCTTCCAAAGAAGCAGCTGTTAAATAATATAAACAGTCGATTACTCCTTAGTATCTCTACTGAGTCACAGATGAAGAGAAGCTGCTCTCTGCTGAACAACTTATTACCAGCATTTACACAATAGTGTATTTTGCTGAACAAAATCTTGCAGCGAATCAAACGTATCTCAGCTAATGTATTAAATGTGGAAAAGGACACAAAAGCAAACCAAAGACAGCTGGACTGACCCCACTCTAGAACCTGATAAAAGTATAAAGAAGATGCAAGTCTGCATTTATTATTCAGATTTTTTTTAAAGTCCCTTCCAAACTGTATTTTTTCAGTACAAGCATCTAACTAACCTTCAAGTAAGTATTTCAGTAACAATTTAATCTTGGCTGTGAACAGCAACAATGAAGCTCAGAAGGCATTCTAAAAGCTTATCTTACAAAAATGAAAACCCAAAGATAGTTAAGATTTCTAGCATTAGACTTTGAGCCTTAAAGAAGGGTTTTTAAGTGCTGCAAACTTTAAGCTGTGTTGTGAACCACTGTTATGGACAGGGCATTCACAGTCAATTCACTGCTGGTGAGCAAAGTACTAGGTTCTCAGAGACTATTCTCTGTGTGGACAGCACTTCTTTCCACTCTCAGCAATAATGCCACTGCTCACTTTTTGCTATTCCAGCAGCACACAATTATAACATATGCATTTTTATTACTTTAACTCTTATCCTTCCAAAGCATTTCAGAAGGATGAAGGATTGAAAAAATACCTGCAAAATTTGCGTTACAGAATTGGAAAAGACAGCCCTGATAGAAACATAAAGCAGCTGCGTGTGAGTCACAGAAATGCTGTGCATACAGCAGGATTTAAATATCCTTCTGTGTGTCAGGTACAATCCACTTCTGCGTGCATTACTGTGGAAAAGTCTACAATGGAATGCACATGACATGAGCATCTCTGTCACCACTGCACAACGTGTGGCGTTATTTTGATGTAAAAAGCAGCATTTTCTGATGAAGACTGCATTTGACCATAGCAATTAGTTTCATATGATAATTAATGGCAAATGACCCCATCAGATGCCTTCCTGCAATAGCTATCTGAGATCTCTCATGCTGGTTCTATAGTGTACTTTCAGTATTGGGAATCTTTTTGTACTTCAATTGTCCTCCCATGGATTTGGTTTTGAGTAAATTGATTTCTCCATGTAGTGCATTAAAATCCTTAGGGCATGAGAACCTGTAGTTTAGCAACAATAGAAGCTGTCATTTTAGCAACTGGCTTACGCAGGTAATGTACTAATTGCAATCAGAAATGACATGTCTAACACTTCATTCCATTATCTGATTTTCATGGAAGTATTGCTGTTGCTTTTTGTGTAACATTGCTTCTGCAAAAACTCTTCTACTGAATGATATTCAAGAGCTTGGTTTTTGTTTCACCTTGCATCAGCCTTTGGTTTTATGAGAGACATAGGCTTATTTTTCCCCTGATGGACAAGATAATGGATAATTGAATACAGACATCAAATAGGTAAGAGAGGAGAGGAAGAGTGAGTTGTTCCTCACTGTGTGGAACACCTAAATCTTCCCTCTTTGAGCCTTATGTAAACCCTGCTTTGAGGAAAGGGTGCTTAGCTGGTTCCAGTATGTGCACAGAACACATAAGGATTTTTCTGCTCTCAGGGGAAATTCACTCAAAATGTCTGTAAGTAAGGAGGCCTAAATTCTTTTCTCACAGTACTGAAGTTAATATTCAATCTGCTGTCTTTTTCTACTAGTATCTTCAACGGAAATAGCAAAGCTCCAGAAAGAGCAATGTGTCAAAATATGAGGTGTACATCGTAGTGTGACTGTACATTTAATTGCTTGTTCTTACATGTATCCTGCCTGGGAAATGCTTTAACTTCAGTCCCGGTTATTACTGCTTCACAACAGCACTCTGAAGAAATCTACAATATGATTAGAATGGAATCAAATGCTGTGGAAGACAGAGAAGCAAGAAGTTCTTGAATGAAAAAGAAACCCCTTGTCAAGGAGTTATGGTAGCACGTACAACCCCATATAATAACTGTAAATCACAGCCTGAACCACTGATTGAGCAACTGGGGAAAGCACCCGGTCAGCCCTGGGAGCACAGGGGAAGGCAATTCAGCTGTGTGACCAGAAGGGGTGGAGCCTGGCTGCTACAGTCATTGCTTCTTGACCACCACATCCCTGATAAAAAAGTCCCTCCTCATCTTTACTCTGAGTATTGGAAGGCCACAATGAGGTCTCCCCAAGCCTTCTCTTCTTTAAGCTAAATGTGCCCAAGTCCCTTAGCTTTTCTTCACAGGAGAGGTGTTCCTGCCCTCTGCCCTCTGATTGTTCTTGTGGCCATCCTCTGGACCCGCTGCAACAGCTCCAAGTCTTACTTATGCTGGGAGCCCCAGAACTGAACGCAGAACTGCAGGTATTTATTTGATTTGAGGTAAGAATTCCTTTTGCTCTGCATGGAAAGTTCACACTAGGAGAGCGCAAAGACTGCTTACCCAAAAATAGCTGAAGGAGTGAAAATATTTCTAAGAGACAGTAATTGTGAAGATGAGAGATTCGATAGTAAACTGGCAGTTGGAAGAGGTTGAATACAAACTGTGAGTGTTCAAAAGGAGAACCAGGCACAGTACTAACTATAGGAGTGAAAACAGAGGAAAAGAAGCACAGTGAAGAGTAAGAAGAGGGAGACATGTTTGCCAAATTTCCAAATAGGGAGAGGCAAGCACTCATCAGTCTATTTAGCTATGCATCTACAGCCACAATACACACAAAACAGATCTCCAGCTAGGATTTACAACTTCAGAATCCTATAGTAAAATTGGTATTTAGTCATAAGCCGCAGTATGGGTAATTCTGAATTAACATTATTATCTGTGCAATTCATCTGACAAATCATAGCTGTACTAACTGGACTTCAAATATGCAGAGCTTGCTCATCACAACAGCTACTCCTTTTTTCCACTCTAAATCCTTTTCAATCCTTTGCAGCCCTCTTTTCAGTGGTAGTGGCTCCTAAGTCATACACAAATAACAGCGGGTAATGTTACATTTCCACGTAACTATTCCTTTACTAACAAGGAAGCTTCTGTCATAGTTAACACAGGAGTTCTCCTTCAAACAAAATAGTTCAGTAATGAAATCCTACAGGCAGGATATATACTTGTTTAAGATCCGCATTTACCACCAGCTGATTTAAGCTGTAGAGCATCGTAATGGAGCAAACTTATGTCTGTCACTCTACTATTTACATGCATATTCTTATCCCATTGTAAGCATAACAGGTATCAAACTACTTACAGTGAAACAATTATCACACACAATCACAGGGGTTGGAAGGGACCTCAAGACATCAGTTATCCTATTTCTTAAGCCTTACTACTCTGACTTCACTGACACTGTAGTTTGTCACCTGAGAGAACAGAGGAGTAGTTTTTAATTTCACGTTGCTCTTTCATGGACAGAAAGCTTAACATTGCAGACAGACACAACAGGGTGACTTAAGGTGGGTTTTTTTTTCTTTTTAGTTACCTAACTGAAAGTACTGCTTTTCTCAATTTTAGGTACCTTAAAAACTGCACTAAGATTTTTATGGTTGGCTGATCTACACAATGAAACTTCTGCAGTGTTGGGTCTGTATTTCATACTAACCAAAGTCTTTCTTTTCAGAAAGAAGTGGTGTCTGTTAGGCAGCTTCAGGAGGTTAGACTGTATGTGATTTACTCGTCCATTTCCTGCAACATTTCAGGATTTCTGAGTCTTTACAGACTTTTCAAGTCAACATCGTATCATCAACAGGCCTGCTGAACACAAGTCCTACAGGAATAAGCTGACTTAATGGGCTACACAAAGGCAGAGTTAACTAAGTCAATTCTATTTCCAACTGGCTGCTTGTACTTGCTACTGTGTTGATTCAGTTGAGGCAGAACAGACAAAACCTACCCTAAGCAGTGGGTACTATATTTACCTAAATGTTGCTGGCTTAGTTAAAAAAAAAACAAAAACAAAAACAAACAACTCAGTTTTTCTTTATACAGAGAATAGCTCAGCAATCAGACAATATATTCTATGTACAACATACAACATATTCTGTATTTCACTGTATTTCACTGTATTTCTTATGGAAAAAAAAAACAAAAACTAACAGTGAACACTTAATAATGAATGCAGGGAACCTCTACTAAAAGGAAAACAGCCATGCTTGAGTGAAATGCTTGTTAGCAACCTAATTAATGATTGCTTTTTCAATTCCTCTGTATATAATTCTTGCCACAAATGTCATTTCTTCATGAGTAAAAGATCTCTAGCATAATGTTAGAATTGTTTATGTTTGAGGAAAATAAATCCTCAGGTAAAAAGAAGCAAGCAGCACACTGCTTCCTGTATTCATACTGAGTTTTTCTAATGGGCTTGCAAATGCACAGAACCTCGCTCAAATGCAACTAGCAGTGGGTGTCCAGTGCCTTTACATTTGTGGAATGTGAGCAATTCCCATAGTTTTGTCTGTTAATTTTTCTTATAAGAACTGATGTAATGCTGATACATGGATGGTTTAATTGCTGCAAAGTGGTGTTTACATAGAGCCAAGGATGTTCAGCTCCTCACTCTGTCCAGACAGTAACTGGCTGTGAGTGCAGAAGGAACAGCAGGACAGGACTGCTGACCCAAAGTGACTAAAAGGATAAGCTGTACCACATGGTGTCATGCTCAGCTATAAAAGCTGGGGAGAAGAGGAAGAAGGGAGATGTTTGGATTCATGGTGTTTGATTTTCCAATAAACTGTTACATGTGATGAGCCCTGCTTTCCTGGAAGTGCTCAAAGATTTGCCTGTTGATGGAAGTAGTGCATGAATTCCTTATTTTGCTTTGATTTCACATGCTGCTTTTGATTTATCTATTAAAATGTCTTTATCTCAGTCCACGAGTTTTGACACTTTAACTCTTCTGATTCTCTTCGCCACCCCATTGAGGGGGGTGATTATGCAGCTCTGTGAGTGCATTCCAGCCACCATACTGAAGAACCCTTCATAGCAGAAAAGTAAGCAATTCATATACTTTGTTATTGATTTATATACTTTATATTGTGCTTGCTTTTCTTCAAAATCACTGACAAAATACAAAGCTTGTCTCCCTGGAAAAATTTACTTTCTCAATTGTGGAATATTAGATATGAAGACAAAAGATGTTTTGTTTCCTCCTATAAGCACGAGAAGCAAGTAATAAGCCACTCCCATTCCTCCTACCATTACAGAAAACCTGAAAGAAATTTTAGTGTAACTTGTTATTAACACAACAGAAATAGACAGAAGATTACTGAATGATTTGTTTTGCAAAGATACTTAAGCATATGTCTAACTTAAAAATACCTCAAAGAACCTCTGGTTCTTTAAGTTCAGTATTTGTTCAAGTCCCCTGCTAAGCCTCAATCAGAGAAATAACAGGAAAAAAAGAAGCAGACTGACAACTTACCAAATAGACATCCAAAACAGAAGCATTATCGTTTTCCGTTTCCAGTGTGCTCTGTTCTGATGTCAAATAGATGGCACTATCTTCTAGAGTGAATGTCGAACTTGAAGGCAACTCTTTACTGGAAAGAGAAGAGAGACTACAGTCAACAAAAAAATACAAGTTGCAGAGAGCTCAGTCGCAGCTGAAATCTTAAAATAAATTTCTCCCTAACAACTAAGCTTCAAATACTTGAAAAGTAGAAAAATAAACAAGTGTAAGTGTATAGGTAGTTAACTGGGGGCGCACATTTTACTAACGTGTGCAAACCATGTTATTTCTACCTTTGTTGTAATTAGAATGTTATCAAGAAGTAATACTGTTCTCGAACTCTGCTGGAACAATGAATCTATGCCACTGTATTAGTGGGGTAACTTCATTAATTTCTACATCACAATGGTATAAATCCTAGAAACGTTTTTTTTTTTAATTTAAAACAGAGGAAAAAAGAGACTCAGTAATAAAGCACAGTAGTATTGGACTTTCTCACATAGATAAGACATCACTTTCAGCCAACAGTTCAGATGGGATAGTGAGAGAAGAAAAATAGTGCACTGTAATTAGTACAGCTCTGCAAGCAAGGAATGTTGGCAGAAGAGGTGTGCTGAATTATTTCAGTCAGGCATATGATTTATGTTTGCTGCTGTGGAGAAAGAATGCGAAAACACAAACACCTCCACACAAGAATCCTGTTCTGTAAATACCTGGAACCACAGAGCTGAAACTGTCCATGGTGCTTTATCGGATTTAAGCACCTTAATCTCCCACCCTTACCAGCTGTCAGAAATGAAGGGACTTCAGTTTTGTAGAACCGTATTTCAAATGTTCTTACCTATGTACACAAGAAGTGAACAGCTAACAATTCTGCATTATAACCAGCTGTTAAAACATGGCCATAGCCATCAGCCTGTAAATGGGGAAAGGAGGATTAATTTTCCCCTCCCTTTGCAGTATTTCATGGTTTAGGTATGTTCCAGCTTGGACATCAAATCAGAAAGGGTACAACTAGAATCCATAGCAGAAAGCAAATAAAAATGCTCAACAAAATAATGAATCATCAGTCATCCTCATGTCATATTAGTATTAAGTGCACAATACCACATTCACCACAATACACTGCTCCTTTTACTATATAGTATATCCCTTCAACTGTAAGACTAACTCATTTGTCCCAGTGGTGATGCAGCTCCCATTGGCTTAGCAGCAGTTTCCTAACACCCTCTATTTGTATTCTATTATGGAACATTTCAGTCATATCAGTTTTCTGCCAACACTACATTTTACTAAAAGGAAAGGGAAGGACAGGAAGGAAAGAAAGGAGCTACTGCCAAACACTGACTATGTTTTTATCATCTCCCACAAAACAAGCTCTGGCATTAAATACACTATTTTTGGTGAAAGAAAAAAAATCGCTTTTGCTTGCTTGCATAATTTTGACAAACAGGGATGCTCAGTTCAGGCCTCAGAATGTGCCAAGGCCCATATAAGAAAATCATGTGCCAAAGGATGAACATGAAGTGAGCAGCTACTGTATTTATAAAAATGTGCAAAGTCAATGGTCAACCCTTCTGGAAAACAGTGCTCTGCATTACTATGAGCAGGTCAGGCAGTCTGCAGCATATACTTGGCTTTTATACCTGCATTAAGTTAAGTATAAAAGAAAAAAACCCTTGAAATAGTTATTTGCTATGTACTAAGCCACATCACTACTGTGATTTAACTTCTCTCACTTAGAAAACTTCTGGCACCTGCACTCAGATGAAGTGAAATTTTCCACAATTCATACCAGTGCGCTTTATTTTAGAGCCTTCTTGGATCAGAAGGCCAAGACCTAGAGCTACTGTTCTTTTCTGGTTAATTCACCAGTTTACTCCTAAATCTACTTTCCTTTCTGCCTTTCCCACTTCCCCATTAGAATGCACTAGCTTGTTGTGGGTTTTTTTGCTGCTAATTTGCTAGTTTGTTAAGTTATCATCTTCTTTGCTTCAGAGTCTGCCTTGCATTGCAAGCAACAGCAAAATGAGTTCAGCGCTGGGATGGGATTGTTAAACTACCTCTCTATGGCATATAAGAAAGACTGCCCTCTGCCCTTCAGAGCATGCCTCTTTTTATGGTATGCAAGGAGACATGCAGATCTGCCTGCTGCAGGAATCCACTACACAGAGAGGAAGCAAATGAAGGCTAACACACAAACAATACGGAAAGAGAAGTCAAAGCTCCCATTAATGTTACAGCTTGGTTATTCATTAGTGAATTTCCTAAAAAAGCGAGAATGTATAGAAACAGATAATACTGTACAGAAATGAAAGGGAGAAAAGGGATAGAAGAAAGTACAGAGTAAACTTGCACAGAAAACCAGCATGGAATAAAGGCCCCTGCACAAAAACAGGCATGAAAGAAGAGGCAAAATAATACAGAGATGCTGCTCCATATTTTAATTACAATCAAATCCCCACAACTTTTCTGCAGGTAACAGTCTTCTTGCTACTGTGCCTTTCACACTGAATAGTGAGAAATCAACTCTAATACTCATGTATGAAGAACCGCTTTCTAAAAGAAGTACAGAAGAACTGCTGAATGACAGAGCTTTCTTTCATAAATCCTAAATTCAATAACCAGAGACTGGACGGATTCCAAAAATTCTCTAAGAAAATTTAATTCTCTAAGAAAACTTAAAGTGAACATACGCAGTCCATTCTGGGAAGCTAATCAGTAAAGTGCATAAAGCAGAAAGGGGAAATTTAACGTCACTGCTATCCTAGTCTGCATCTGGAGCCCATGCTGGAGGAAAGCAATGACTTCTGCAAGAAGCTGAACTCTGCCACAGTTACAGTATACTGCTTATGTGCAATAATGTAATAACACCTTTTTAGTTATATCTTTTTAGTTAGAAATTATTTCCATGGCAGAAAACCATGCTTGTTCATTGAACCTGCCTTGTAACAACAGCATGAAAAAATGCATCCCCAAGATAAATATAACAAGATTTCCAATTCACCTATGAAAAGTGAGGAAAAATAAGTTTTGCTTTGTTTTGTTTTTTTTAAGTCTGTTTTAATGTCCTCCTGTTCTCAGAAACAATAATTATTTTGACCTTAGGACTAAACAAGGGGAAAAGCTGTTCTTAGGACCTTCTAAAACAGAATACTTTAACGCACTGAATAGGAATAATAAAAAGCTCAAGTCTTCGTCTTCTTCTTTGGTAGAGAATAAAATAAACCCTGCATTTTTCAGAGTCCTTCTGATTTGTTCTCCTGAACATCAGAGGCAAAAATTAGCTCAAAAAGTTGAAGTTAATTAGGGTTTGCTTCTTGGAAGTATGGAAAATGGGGTTTGGGATGCAAAATCTTCAGTAAGATTATTACATGATTTCTATACAAAATTTTAAGAAAATTATCAGCTTATTGCATCATAACCTTTAAAATGTGTTTATAGGGGTTAATCAGAAAAATGTCACATAGAACAATGGGCAGTAGAACTACTGCTAAAAGATACTGCTCAAACAGCGATGA